CAAATTGTAGCCGCCCTCCATTGCCTGTACTTTTTGAGGAATGTATGGCTTGAATTTGTGCTTTTTTTATACTTCATGTACAGTTCTTTTTTAATAATAATAGCATTTATTGCCCAACAGAGTTATCCATTTACAGAGCAATTGTAACAAAATAAAATGTCTAGTGATAATTTGTACAGATAAAACATTATTTTTAAATACAAAATAATAAAAACAATAGAAAAAATCAGTAAACACTAAGTACAGATAAAATGCAGATACATAATAATAAAAACAGCCAAAAAAATAAAACAAAAATCATTAAACATTAAGTAAGACTTAAAATTTTATAAAATTCAATTAAATAATATGTACATGTATAAGAACTACCTTATAAAATCGTAAGACATACAGCTTTCAATTGAGAAATACTACAACAGAATATATCACACATATCAGAGACCCTATTGGCATTGCTACACATCACATTAATTGGCGCCTTTAATAATAAATTCGTTTTAGCTCTTTTGCAAAAAAAGTGTCATGATATCTTGAGGAAATCCTAGGAACTAAAATATTTACTCAGGGCAGTCAATTTTACTCTGTAAAAGTTTGTACAAGAATAAAACAGAGGCTGGATTCCTACGTTTCTCCAAGGAAACGAAATTAAATGTGAGCAACAATTCTGGATAATTGCATCCTCTCGGGGGATATATTCCGTTTATTTTAAAACTTAAAAAATTCAAGAATGACTTTTGAATTCTTTCAGTAATTAGAGAATGAAATATAATGAATATAAATAGGATTCCATATGATGCTTGCATACTCTAACTTCTAACTACTAACTTTACTACTTACTACTACTACTACTTCTAACTTTTTGATGCTCTAATATTATTACAAATTTCCTGGGTTTTATTTAACGTTAAGAAGAACATTGAACTCGATATTTTCATTAAATTGACGTTCTTCTCGCTTTGGTTTCTTAAAAGCACCATAGTTTCTCAAATTTTCTTCAAGTCTTACAAATCTACGTGGTTCTGGAACTTCTCTGTGAGGAAATAGTTCTCTGTCAAAGCAGACTTCTCTACCACGATTTTTATTACACCGAAAGTATACCTGAATCGTGTCCGTCAGCAAATTACACACGATACTTCAAAAATTTGTTTACACCAGGTGAAAGATATCAATTTTGCCATGAAACTTTATTAAAATAAGTTTTCTCTATCTCTTAGAATAAATAAGTTAGACGTCCCTAAAGTTTGGGTACTTTTTCGGTTTTTTTTATGATTTCTCATAAAGTTGGTCATGGATCTCAAATTTGTTTATACGAGCATCTAGGCAAAAAAAATGCAACAAAAAACATATAAAGATTTTTGAGGTGCATCGTGTATTAAGCGAGATACATAGGAGTGTAAATGTAATTTAAAGTTTCTTGTTTAGTGGGTACCTATGGGTAAACATATAATTAGCTAAACTATTTGGAGTTTACTGAATAACAATAACTATATGAAAATACAACACTTAACAACTGAGAACGACGAATAAAAAGCAATACAACAAAAAACTGTCAAATACAACTAACACTTAATTTTGAAATATAATGAGACAACTCCCCTATAAATGATTTGCTTTTACCTTATACATAGATCAGTGTAGATATCGAGAATTAATCACAAATAGTAAACGCTGCAAATAAGAATTGCATTGCAAATTTTCTTTGACTAAAACAAATCTGAAAAAAATTTAGGGTTTCTGACTCATTTCTATGTAGAACCTAAAGCTGAATACAAATGCAAGTTTCGAGCTGTTGTTTTTATTATGTTTCCTTGTTATAGGTTATTTAATGAAAGGAATAAAACTAATTTCAACGGTGTTTTGAGAAAATTGATATAAGTAGTGATTAAAACAAAATTCTGTATTTAATTATTATTATTTAAACATTTTTCGCCCATTATTTGAGTTTCCTGAATATACAGGGTGCTTCAGAAAGACCTCCCGTAAATTCAGGGGTTGATAGTACGACAAAAAATAAGAGTTTTTTGTTTTATGAACTATATGTCTATCTCCTCTTGTTTTCGAGATACAGAGCGACAAAATAAAAATTTTTAAATAGAATTCTTACGAAAATTTCCATACGGTGAAAAATATTTTTATGAAATTTAGTATTCCGGGTTTTTTAAGGATGCCAAATTCGCTGATCTAATTATTTTTTGGATATTTCATAGAGAGCGCTAGTTATGCGCTACATTCCTATTACATTTTAAGTTCTAATTTTTTGAAGGTTAGGTTTTTTACCATTTGGGCTCCAATTTCTAACGTAGGTACAATTGTGTTTTCTAAAAATAATGTACTCTTGTTAGAACTTCCTATTGTGGACGGTTTTCGAGAAAGAAGGCTTTCAATTGAACTCTTACAATATTAAGGTGTATAAAATAAGTGACTTTTCTCGAAGTAGACTTATGTCAAAACTTATTGATGGATGTCTCATGAACAACGCATACATTCTTAGTAATATTTTAAACCCCAATTAACCTTATATCAAAATTTTAGTGATTGTTAGTGACTGTAGTTAGTAATGACTAATTACAGTCACTAAAATTTTGATATAAAGTTAATTGGGGTTTAAAATATTACTAAGAATGTATACGTTGTTTGTGAGACATCGATCAATAAGTTTTGACATAAGCCTACTTTGAAAAAAGTCACTTATTTTATACACCGAAATATTGTAAGAGTTAAATTAAAAGCATTTTTTCTCGAAAACCATCCACATTGGGAAGATTTAACAAGAGTACATTATTTTTAGAAAATAAAATTGTACATTAGAAATTGGAGCCCGAATGGTAAAAAACCTAACCTTAAAAAAAATAGAACTTAAAATGTAATACGAATGTAGCATAACTAGCGCCCTTTATAAAATATACAAAAAATAATTAGACCAGCATATTTGGCATACTTAAAAACCCCGGAATACCAATTTTCATAAAAATATTTCGCACCATTTAGAAATTTTCGTAAAAATTCTATTTAAAAAATTTTAATTTGTCGTTGTGTATCTCGAGAACAAGAAGAGATAGACATATAGTTCATACGACAAAAAATTCTTATTTTTTGTTGTACTGTCACTCCCTGGATTTATAGGAGGTCTTTCTGAAACACCCTGTATAGGTGCACGATGTATTGTAACATTTTTGATCTTCTGTTTAGAACAGTTTAGAATAATTTCAGGTGCAATACGTGCTGAATAAAATCGTTTTAATATCATTATGACTTTTTCAAAAAATAATACCTTGGATAATGAATTTATCTGCTACATATGGACGGCAGTGTAAGAGTCAAACAGCTTTTGGTGGGTTTTATTTATTTTCTAAAAAATAGAAAAAAGTTGTCATGAGTTCGGTTTTCGAGAAAAGCTGAATTACAGAAACTGCATCAGAGTTTCCTTTGATCGAAATTTGAATTTAAAAATACATATTTGATTTTTGTAAGTAGTTTTTTCACTTTTTTTCGTATACGCGATATTTCTCTATAAGTTCCATATTTTCAGTTACAATACAAGACATATTTTTTAAAACGGAACACTATATTTTTAAATTTTTCAAATTTGAATAAAATATTCTTTCAAATAATGTGCATGTATGTAAAAAGGTATATGTAAAATATTTCTTTCGAGAAATAAACATCAAAATTTATTTTTTTCTAATTCAACTCCTTTATGATAGCTTGTTGTATGTTTATTTTGTGTTGCATTCCTACATATTCGACAACATCCATTTAACTGTGTGAAGAAATATAATTACAAAAAAAATTTCAGACAAAAATCAAATATTTTCACAAATAAAAAAAATATATAGAGAGTATACATTTTTAAACCGTCAAATTCGAAGAATGTCCTGTATGTCTTAGTATTGAAATCTTACATTTTAAATTTTTCTCGTAAATGCACCTTTTAGCTCTGTAAACAGTACTGATATTACTTAAATAGTTAGAAACATACACGATAGTTTATCTTGTAAAGCCATTGAATATGTCTGTCACTTATCTAGTGGAATACAATTTTAGGTACACCATAAATATTTACATTTATAATGCGACAGGCGTTTGTTTAAAAAAGTAATTAATGCATTTCATACATAAGATATGCCATGTAGTAAGTAAGTATAAGTTGGTATTTTTATTAGTTATTGCTGTTAATATTCCATATTATCTTACACTTTAAAATATCCATGATATTTTTATTAAAAAAATGTCAATTCATTCAATCAAATCTCAAGGACTTAACATTTACTGTAAAAAAGTTTGTGCTGTTTATTTTATTAATCCCTAACGAGTTACTGTGTTATAAGCACTGTTTTTTTACCTCAGATCCTACTTAATCTTAACTAGTTTTGATTAACTAATTGTAAGATCTCTTGTAAATAAAACTGCTGTTCTATTACTAATTTTAAATTTACCGCTTACTTGCAATACAAAAAGACAGATACCTATCTATAACAGTTTTCTGACATTCGAATTTTTGGTGTTCATATATAAAGATAATCATTTATTTGTTTTTTAGAATTATTGCAATACTCTGTTGAAGAACAAATATGTCCACATTAGTTGTTTACAATGGTTAATTTCCGTTTTATAAATAGTCGCAAGCAGTTTTTAAACATATTTTTACAGGTTTTATACATGTTTTTGTATGCTTCCATGGTGAAAACTGTATTGATAGCTGAAAAAGACGGACAACTTAACTGTGCCTGCTGTATCAGTGTGACCAGTATCCATTCATTTACGAATCATTCTGTATAATCTTAGAACAGTTTCTTTTTCGGTTAATAAGTTAGATGTAAAAAGCGCCAGTATAATTTTAAATATCTCAAAATTAGCCAGCCACAGCACTATGTCCCTCTATCGGTGAATATCTAAAATTATAGTGTCTTCTTGAAGTCCATAATGAGACTGCCAGCGCCCTCTTTTATTTGTTTTTGTCGTCTTTTATATTTACTGCAACCTGCAGCCTGCAGCTTGCAGCTAACTTTCCTCCATTCAATTACAACATGGCTGTCTCAGTGAAATTGTTAAAAAAACAAAACAAAGATTTTTGACCTGTCAAATAAGCTATCAACACTAAATTATTTGTGTAATTTAACAAAAAGGAATTATTAAAATGGGTGAAAAGTAATCAACTCCTCTTAATTTAACCGCTTCACATTATACATTCATTCCATATGCAATTTCCATTTTTTATTTGTTTTTCATAATCTATATATTTTTTCAGATCCGAAAACAACTGGTTTGGTTCTTGGTTGAATGCTGCCAAAAATAAGGTAACGTGTTTATTTACTTCCGGCCTTATTTATCATTTGTAAGTTTTGCAGAGCACTGAAGTATTAGAATTCGTAAAAAAAGACTTGGAAGAATTCGGGTCTGCTGTAAAAAACGAAGCCAGCAATGTTGTTTCGTCGACGGGAGCAGTCCTCGAAAAAACTTTAAAAGTAAGTTGCAATTTATTAGATTTCCTCATTCTATTGAAACAAAAGGGTTTGTAACGCTGTGGGTTAATTTCTGAGTAGGAGTTTTTAGTTTAATTAATACTATTAAAGCCAGCATTATTAATAAACATTATTCATAATGCCTTATTGGTTAAATAAGCATAATGTACATTTTAGTTGGATAAAATCTTACAGAAAAGTGGTACTATCAAATAGCTCTCATAAATTTTGCAATAAACAATGCTTCGTGCCGAACTGATAACAATATTTCCATAATAAAAACCAAGGTCACTTGTTAATAGTATTCATGTGTGTTTCAAGGGCAATATTTTTTTTACAATAAGAAGGGGTTGTCTGCAGATAATTTACTAACCCATATGTTGCGAGTTTATAATCTCAAAAGTTTTCCATAGATAAATTAATAAAATAAATTACTGCATTTTTGTAATAGATATAGGTGTTAAAGAATTTATAGCAATTATCATAATCGCTAGATATTAACTGTTATACCGCTTGATAGATAAAAAAAATTCCAAGTATGCTGCATATATTTCGTTAATATAACAGCAGCAGTTGCATTGCCTTAAAATATTTAATTAATTACACTTTACACTATGTTACAGAGTGTTGTTTTAAAATGCCATATTTTTCCATTTAAAAAATATCTTATTCAAAAAACATCAAAAAACATTGGTGTATTTTCTTACGATTAAAATCATTTTCAGCTGGATTCGCCAGATTCCACCGCTAGTTCTATGAAAAGGAGTTTTAGTTCTTTTCTCGGTATGTAAACGGTACAGATGGTAATAAATCAAAATTTAATGTTGTTTTGCAAATCATAAACTAAAATTAAATGACTTCGCTTTTAGGACAAGTGAATAACGTATTAAATCCAAGTCCAGACGATTCCGATACTGAAATATTTATAGTGGAGAATTCAGAAACGGTAAAATTAACAAAATTACAGGTAAAGTAATATACACCCGTACGTCGGATAAAACATGCATTGACGTGTTCCAGAAAGCCATCTATGACCTACAGAAAGATCCAAATACATTCCTCTGTGATCCCGACGCCGATTTAAGTAAGCAATTCCATTGTTGGTTAGAAATAATTGACGATCAGTTGTCCGACGATCGGATAGCCAAGCATGTCAATAGCTCGGAAGTATTAAAACGTCAGTACGCTAAACTCGTGCCTGATATCGTCGAACACCAATTGTTCTGGAAAAGGTTTGTTAATTTTGACGCTATACACGCTTTTTTAAAAAACATATTTTTTCTTGTTAGCTGTCGGCATTTTTTCACCCTATTTTAAAGGTTTTAAGCAAATTCGCACAAATTCAAACATTTATTCTGAAAAATTTCATCGAATGAAATAAAATCTGTCTCGTGTCCCAAAATCCACGCAAGATTTGAATTTTGCGCCATTTATGCGTTAAAGTGTTGCAAGTGAATAAAAAAAGACAGCGTGATTTTGAAAAATTTTATTTTTTTTTCAAAATTGAATTTTTTTTCTAAAAGTTTAAATTTTTTTTTGATAGCTGACATTTCTGGGCTACTAAAAATTTAGTGCTACGCGGAAGAACTAGTTTTCAATGTTACAATTTAAATTTACAATTTTGAAATAAAAACCTGATTTCTATGAAAATTACTTTTGACTTGAATTTTGGGACATTCTTTAAATATGCAAAAGATATCTAGCTCCTAATTGTTGATATTGCAGAAAACTACTACTCTGTCTCAAGTAGCATTAAATTATACCAACAATACATAGTAAACAGCCAGAAATAAATGATTATCCAAAATAAAAACATAAAATGATATGCGCAAATATAATTAATACAAAAATACATATCCGATATATTGAACTTATTGAATAATGCAATCATTCAAAGAAACATCTTGTATTCTTGCTGTGGCACCTGTGAAAAAATTTAAAAAAAAAATAGTAACATGAACCCATGCATCAAAATGATCAGTGAAGGGTTATTTTTATAAAAACGCTTTTACCTAATCAAAAAATCTCCCACTGAAAAAAAGCAAAAGGCGCACATTAAAAAGGTCGTTAACTTTTCGAAAATCCACTGTTTTCATCTGATTTTTTTTGTTTTTGACTACAGGTTAATAACTTCAACGGTTTGGTAAAATTAATATTCAAAAAAAGTGCAGAAGACGAAAACAGTGAATTTTCAAAACGTAACGATCTTTTTAAAGTGTGCGATATTAAGTGACGTATTTTTGTATTTTATATTTGTCTCTTTTTTTTTGGTGTGAGATTTTTTGGTTTGATAAAACAATTTTTATAAAAATAAACCTTGACTGAGCCTTTAAAAAAATTCTTACGTTTCGAAAATCCACTGTTTTCATCTTCTAATTTTTTTTTTTTTTTATTTTTCATGTTAATAACTAACCGTTTGGTAAAATGAACTCAAGAAAAGTTCAGAAGATGAAAACAGTGGATTTTCAAAACGTAACAATCTTTTTAAAGTGTATAATATTAAGTCATGTGTTTTTGTGTTTTATATTTTCTGTTTTCTTTTGGTGTGAGATTTTTTGGTTCGATAAAACAATTTTCATAAAAATAACCCTTAACTGATCCTTTAAAAAGATCCTTATGTTTCGAAAATCCACTGTTTTCATCTTCTGATTTTTTATTTTTTTTTGACTTCATGTTAATTTCTTTAACAGTTTGGTAAAATGAAAAGTAAAAAAAAGTTCAGAAGACGAAAACAGTAGATTTTTAAAACGTAACAATCTTTTTAAAGTGCACGATATTAAGTGATGTGTTTTTGTATTTGTCTGTTTTTTCGGTGTGAGATTTTTTGGTTAGATAAAACAATTTTCATAAAAATAACTTTTGACCCTTGACTGATCCTTTAAAAAGATTCTTACGTTTCGAAAATCCACTGTTTTCATCTTTGATTTTTTTATTTTTTTGACTTTTCATGTTAATAAGTGACCGTTTGGTAAAATGAAAAGTCAAAAAAAGTTCAGAAAATGAAAACAGTGGATTTTCAAAACATAACAATCTTTTTAAAGTGTGCGATTAAGTGATGTGTTTTATATTTTGTATTTGTCTGTTTTCTTTTGGTGTGACATTTTTTGGTTAGATAAAACAATTTTCATAACAATAACCCTTGACTGATCCATTTGGCGTTTATTTTACTAATTATTAAAATATTTTAATAGGCCCAAAAAATAAAGAAAAGATCGAAAACTGCTCGTATGCTACAAATAACTTCAAACAGTATCACTTTATACCTAGATTTTGAAAGAGCATTCTTTATGAAGACTTCATTTGATAAATTTTTTTTAAGAAAACATTTGAATTTATTTGAATAAGGTTAATAAATGAATGTGGTATTTACTTTAATGCTCCCCAGGTATTTATTCAAAAAAGCTTTATTGGAAGATGATATTGCTAGGAAGGAGGCTTTAGAGAAGAGGGAACAAAAAGATAAAGTCATAACGGAAGAAAACCTTAAGTGGGATCAAGGTAAGAATTAAAAAAAAAGAAGACATATACACGTATAGAGTGGTTCGATTTTTATTGGTCAAATTTATGAACAGATGTCCTTTTTACGAATGTTTTCGTTTTAAGAAATTCCTAGATTTTTCATGAAACATGAAAATTATTAGCTAGATTCTAATAAAATGCATTTATTTTGATAAAATTTAAGCTTCTGCTTCAAAATAAAGACGTTCTTAAATAAAAAAAATTGTAATACCCGTTTTGAATCTTTTTTTAGTTATTTTAAATTAAGATGCATTAATTTTCTTTATATTTTTTATATTATATTATATTTATATTATTTTTATCAGTAATAAAAATTGAGTTAATGCTTTTTCACTGCTGGAAATTCTGCTGGAAATGTATTTTTGGAAAAAAAATTATATTGTTACCGTCGTTCTAATGTTACGTATCCTATAAAATTTGACAATTTCACTGTTTTTAAAAAAAAGCAATCCTAATGTTACTATTTTTAAATAAATAATCTAATAATTAATTTTAACAAAATACTTAAAAAAATTAGCAAGAAGGTAATTAAAAATATTTTTTTAAATTTAATTCGGTGTATAATTTATTTAAATTTTTTTTTGACCTAATTATTATTACTTGTGCATTTTAATTAGCGTGAAAGAAGAATAATTTTTTTTTTATGTCATATAGAACGAGGGTATCGATATACAGGGTCTTTCAGAAAGACCTCCCGTAAATACAGGAGATGATTGTACGACAAAATATAAGAATTTTTACATACATATGCATTAGAAACTGGAGTCCGAATGGTGAAAAACCTAATCTTAAAAAAAATTGAACTTAAAATATAATAGGAATGTAGCATAACTAGTGCCCTTTATGAAATATCCAAAAAATAATTAGACGAGCGTATTTGGCGTCCTTCAAAACCCCGGAATACCAAATTTCATATAAATATTTCGCATTTTTTTGTTTGTTAAGCATTTATTCACGTGAAATATGTAAAAAAAATTTTTAGTATTTTTTCTACCTGGAAAACCTGGAAATATCAGGAATTTTTTTGGTCAAAATTTGGTATACGCCCTCTTAATGGTAAGTTTCTGCAATATGTTTGTTTAATAACCTGTCAAGTTTTCGTAATTTTCCCATCCACATGCACACAACTTCTTTCTCCCTATTTCATATAAAAGTTATAATAAATAGTTTTCATTAAACAAATTAAGTTTAAAAAACGAAATCAGTGATTTCCAAAATGTTTTCTACTAAAATGTTTTGCATATTTTGAATTTTTGTTGTTTTATTCTTTTTTCTTGCAAAATTTCTGTTAATTATTAACAACCATTGTTTTTTGACAGTTTGTGTAGTTTGATAAAAAAAATTGAACCAAACTATATTCAAAAACTATTTGGGCCATAGAAATCTTTTTTTAATGTTTTGGCCCTTTCCCAGAAGACTTTGGCAACGACATCGAACTGACGGAAGAAGAGCAAATAAAGCTATTAGAGCAGTACGAGAATGAAAAGAAAAACCAAAAATCCAGTCCAAAACCAAACAAAGTACCTATCGGCGAAAAGGTAATCTTTAAACAGGAAACGCCTAAAAAAGAGTTAATTGCAAATAAATTGCAGAAGTTTCAGAACGAAGAGAGATCTAAGTTAAACAAAGACGATTCGTCTATGAGTTTGGACACTCCTAGTAGTAATAGCAGTACTGACGGGGAATGGGAAAAAATTAGCGACATTGACAAATAATTAGGAGTTCAGGAAAAATTTGTAATGTTATACCCGATTTTCTATTACTAGCCCTAGTTTTATTCTATTTTATGAGAAATAGTTATAAAATTTTAATATTTGTTATTTTTACGTACTATTTTTAATTTATTTTATTTAGATGTTTATCACGCTATGAATTATGGTTTTTTTTCTTTTTTTGGAAAATTTTTGTACCTAGTCTTATTGTGTATAAAAAAGCTGTATTTACACTTGTTTAAGAAATATAAATTTTACCAATTTACTATTTCATTTAAAAAAATCGCATTTCAAGTCTTCAGTATAGTTTGACGGCAAAATAGTCGATGCATCCCGAACTGCCAGTGGATTAACGTCTAAAAAATTCGCAAAACTTTGGCAAAGTAACCACATTAACAGCACATTGCTAGTCAGAAATCAACAATGGCTGGAGAAAAAATGCAATTTGAAATAATAAAAATTGATTTGGGATTTGAAATGTCTTAAAAATTATAAAAATATGATGCACCGCCATCTATATGTTAAGAGCTCACTTAACGCCACTGAATCAAATGATACAGTTGGCTACCTACAAAACAATTCTCCCGTAATCCAGTGCAGTTTCTGAGCGATAGATGGCGCCATAAAAACTTGGAACATTTATAGTATCTGATTGGTCAATCGACACAAGTGAGCGTTCCACTTCTCTGATCGAAATTTCTAGTAATACGAAAATTTTCATTTTCACGATTATGCCAGTAGCATGTCTCGAAATCAAACATTTATTTGAAATGTGAAGAAAGTTAAGAAATATTTGAAATTTTAATAATAAAAACTGATTTACGATTTGATTTTTCTCAACTTTTTCTTAGTTTAATTCAATAAAGTTTGAAAAATTATGATGCAGCGCCATCTATATATTAAAAGCACAATCAACTTGCCATAGAATGAGAAACTGGTGACAGTAGTAAGTAGAGTTTCTGAGCATTAGATGACAGATGGCACGTCATGAAAATTAGGAACCTGATGGTTAATCTACACAAGAGAGCGTTCCACATGTCTCATTGAAATAATGTATTTCTAATTGCACAAAATTCGTCAAAATCAAAAGATTAAAGTGCTCTTCTAAAGACGGTACCGCAAGCTGGGAGGGTCTGTTTTTGTGCACTTGTGATAATCACTGAAGTCAAATGTACTTCATCTTGGGAACATTTAAAATTGCACTATTAAATGGACAAAAGGGGTACTATCCTACTTTTTGAAACTGAATTGTAGGAAATTAGTACAGTGAAGGCAATGTTTTTTTAGAAGGCACGCAACTATTCTGTTTATTTCTGCGTATTAAACAAACAAACACAACACATTTTCAATATAGAATTTATATAAAATTTATATAAAATTAAAAATAATTTTAAATTGCACAACAAAACTACTACAACATAATTTTTTTTTGAAACACCTTAAAGAGCGAGCTCATTTAGAAAAATGTTTATATAAAAATCTCTATTTCCAAAAAGTACTATCATACAATCGCTGGTCCTACACTAAACTTCACAGTGTAATGTAAAGTATATGAAGAAAAATAAATGAAAGATCAAAATTTATTATAACCAGAATAATAAACATTATAAAATATTATGAATGAAAACAATAAGCCAAAAAATATATTTATACAGTAAAATATAAATAGTTAAAATATTTTTGTTTGTAATTAGTCCCAAAGCAATGATTTACATAATCACTATCCAAATTCGATTACTTCCTTCTAAAAAATTTATATACGTATAAAAATTCACCGGGTATTTTTCTTTGAAGCACAAGTTCACTATCAAATCCTAAACCTTTCATACCACTGACGACCTCTTGTGGATTATTTTCTTTCAGCAACAACAAATAGCAGATGCCCTCAGGTGTCAACATATCCGAAATATTGCACGATAACCTGTCTATAATTTCCCGACCGTTTGTCCCGCCCGCCCAAGCTCGATTTAAACCACTGCCGGACAACTCCTCGGAGTCTGTCACTACGTATGGGGGATTAAACAGAATAATGTCAAACATACGATTTTTAAAGCCCAATAACAAGTCCATGTTTATACATTCTATGGGAGCGCCATTTAATCTGGCAGTGTTTTGTGTTGCGAGACACGCTTGCGGATTAATATCTGTAGAAAAGTATAAGCAAGAATTCTTTAGGAGAGAAGCTAAACCAGTGATAATAACGCCACTGCCAGAACCTATTTCAACAGCAATTTTCGGCTTCAAATTCAATAAAAACGAAGTATCGGCTTCTAGTGCATCCAACAATAAAAAAGTATCTTCACTGGGTTCGTAGACTTCTGGATATTTATTTAAATTATACTTTGGTGTGTCTAACGTCATTTCTAACTTGATGTACTTGAAGTTGGTTCTGCAATTATGTCGTTTAAAATTACTTTCCTCTTAACCACTTCTTTATCGATAGACATGTGAACTTTATTCAATCTCTCCTGAGCATTTTGCAATATGTTCGAGAGGACCGTTACCCGTTGTTTTGCATTAATAAGCTTTTTCACGTAAACATCCAAATCAATGGTAGTCTGTTGAGACTCTGATATTTTTTTCAGTTCTTCACTTAGACTCTCGATGCACTGTTTCAGCTCCAGTTGAGATATTCTACAAAAACTTTGTTTCAGATATGTAACAGAAACAAAAGTGTATTTCTAACCTTGTGGCACGTACTCGCTCATCTAGTTGGTCCACCGTTGGCTTTATTAAGCCCATTAAACCTTCAGCCAAAGTGTCCCTGGTCGGATTTTCGCAAAAATTTTCCGTATTTTCATCTATAGATGTTGCTGTACTTTCTGAATCCAAATCCATTCTTTTTCAGGAAACAATTAAACAATTAGACAGGTACACCTGCACGGAACACAAAACAGCCGCAGTAACAAAGTAAATACAGGTGAAATTAGTAACAGTAGTCGTTTCATTTTGAGTTCGCCGCGCCATTATTCTATGGCTAGAAATTGGCCTCAATGATTTGGGATCGAGGGGGATTATCCCTCTTTATCCTGCCTCATCTCGTGTA